GTGCAGCCGGCAGAGCGGAGTTTGGCAGCTCTGCACGAGCTGCTGCAGCAGGCAGAGGTGAGCTGGATTTGGCTGGTGTTAGGCAGGACACAGCTCATCCCTCCTGTCCCCAGCTTCGTGCACAGCCCATGCACCTCCTCCTTGCTCTTCGGAGCCAGTAGGAAGGTCAGACTCAGGTTTAACAGGGGTTTATGTGCAAACCCCATCCCTCCCTGCACTCTCACCTTCCCCTCCCTGCTTAGACAATCAGAATCACAGGCTGGTTTGGCTTGAAGGGACCTTAAAGCTCATCCAGTTCCAACCTCCTGCCATGGACAGGGACACCTTCCACTAGAGCAGGTTGCTCCAAGCCCCTGTGTCCAACCTGGCCTTGAACACTGCCAGGGATGGGGCAGCCACAGCTTCTCTGGGCACCCTGTGCCAGCACCTCAGCACCCTCACAGGGAAGAGCTTCTGCCCAAGAGCTCATCTCAGTCTCCCCTCTGGCAGGTTAAAGTCACTCCCCCGTATTCTGTCCCTGCAGGCCGTTGTCCAAAGGCCCTCTCCAGATTTTTTGTAGCCTCTTTAGGCACTGGGAGCTGGTCTGAGGGATGCAGCCCAGAGGCAATAACCTGAGCTTGACTGAAATAAATTTTACAGCCTGGAAAAAGCTGGCAGCTGAACAGGGCCTGAGGACGGTGATGAATCTTTAGCAGATAGATGTAGTTTGGAGCTCAGTCGCCAGAACCTTTCCTCAGTTCTGGCAGTGGGAGGATGAAGTCACCCTGTCTCAGACATAACAATCCTGTCTTGCCTCAGGCCCTGGGCGCTGAGCTGCAGGAGCTGAGCTTCCCAGTGAATCAGGAGCTGGATGCCGTGAAGCAGATTGTGGCCAACCCCCCTGAAGAAGTCCCTGAGCAACTGCTGAAGGCTTTGGAGAAGGATGCCAAGAACCTGCAGAAGTCTCTGAGCTCTACGAGTGATGTCCTGGAGTCCCGGCTGCAAAACCTTCGCGGGGCAGCAGAAACTGAAAAGGTAAAGCTGGCATCTGCCCCGAGCATCCCAGTGCTCCTTCCCGGGAGCGCTCTGCTCCTTCTTTACGTGATAATATCCCTGTTTTTAAGGCTAAAATCCTGGCACATCACGAGAGTCTCCAGGGCAAGCTGCAGGAGCTGCTGAGCTGGGTCTCCAGCACCACAGAGTCACTGGAGGGCAGTGATTACCACCACGAGACTGATGTGAACAGCTTGGGCCGCTGCCTGCAGCACTACAAGGTAACCATAGCAATGCCCCTAATCCTGCTGGCTGATGAAGATGCTGTCCTCTGCATGGAGAAGCAGCTTTTAATCCTGCTTCCCTCCTGGAGCCTACCAAGGGTTTGCCCTTATCCTGTGTTGCAGGAGGAGCAACAATACTGTATTTGCTCCAAAGTAATTTGTTTCTACAATACAGGAGCCATCTGCTTTGGCTGTTTGGGGAACATGCTCAAATGTAGGTGTGTGGTGGGGGCTGAGGGATTCCCATCTGGCTATTGAGGAAAGAGCTGCTTCCTTCTGCTCTTATTGCTCCATCCATCACATCTGCCCTGGTCTCCATCAGCTGTACAAGGAGCTCAGACTCCCCTCCATATTTATTCAGGCTGCCCTGTGTTGGGGTAGGTTGGATGGGGCTTGGAGTAACCTGCTTTAGCAGAAGGTATCTGGGCCCATGTCAGGGGGTTGGAACTGGATGAGCTTTAAGGTCCATTCCAACCCAAACCAGTCTGTGATCTATGATTCCCTTCTAGCAATAGCTTTCAAGATTTGGTCAGTTCAGCATCTCCTGGTTGCTGGTAGCTTCTTGGTATTGAACTCGGGGATCGAAGGCTTTAAGAGCTGTTGGTGGCACCATGGCCACTGTAGACTGTACAGGCCTGTAGAGTCATTTTGACAGGTCTTTTCTCTGCCATTTAGGAGCTGAAAGAGCCCTTGGCTGATACCAAGTCTCAGCTCGACGCCACTGCCTTCGACATCCAGTTCCTTATCTCGGAGCACGCCCAGGACTTGACCCCTCAGCAGAGCAGGCAGCTGCTGCGGCTGCTCAATGAGCTGCAGAAGGCTTTCCGGGACCTGTCGGAGCACGTCACGGCTCGGGTGGAGGTGCTGCAGGTCTGCCTCCAGCAAGTGGAGCAGACGGATCAGGTGAAGGTTGGGAGACATCTGCTTCCTGGCTGCAGTTTGCTCGCTGAAGTGCTTCCCGGCCACAAGAACGTGCGCTGAGACACCTCCTGTTTGGGATTTCCTGTGCATGCCACTCACAGTTTATGACTTATTGCACATCATGAGCTTCTTCTAAAGTCTTTTCTCTTCTACCACGTAACTCCCAGGTGGAAAGTTGCTTTCCTCCCAAAAGATGGAGCCTGGCTGAGGTCTGGGTAGTGCAGCCATCGAGTTGCTTTGGGCTGGGTGGAATAAACCCACCAGAAAACCCCTGTGCAGAGGGGTCACCACAGACACTTGGCAGTTTTAATGTCTTATTTCCACTGCTCAAGTCAGGTATAGCTGTCCCAGAGAAACGGCGGATGATTCAAGGCAGCAGGCAGCTGCAAAAGCAACTACTCAGGTCTCTGCTGCGTTGCTGCAGCACCCATCACTGCATGGAGCCTCTTATTCAAGACAGGATTAATGTGGTTTTTCTTAACAGTTGCTCTCTGTAACTCTTGCCTGTCTTCTCTGAGAGAGTGTGTGTATATTAACCAGTTTGCTTTGCTTTTTCAGATTGAGTGTGCGCCCATCCTAACCCAGGAAGAACTCGCTTTGCAGCTGAAGAGCTCTTAAGAAGGCTCTTTCAATGTGCTTCTATTGCGTATCTTATGACTGGGAGAATCAAGCAGTGTTTTGCACAAGTTTGTACATCACCTTGCTGAAATGCCCAGTGAAACTCAAAAATACCCCTTTATCTCCCCTGGGAAAGGGGAGCAGGAACGTTGCAGGGACTTTCAGGTCACATCATGCTCAATTGCTCAAACAGGCGCTTCTGTGTTGTGCTCTGGCAGCAAAACCAAGGAGCTGGATCGGCTACAGAAACACTTTCCCTCTCCCAGGCTCCCTCTCCAACCCCAGGATCAAAACCAGCCTACTTGGGTTCTTTGGGGCTCCACAGTGGTGCTGCCTGACCTCAGGTTGTTGTTACCTCTCATTAGATGAGTTTCTGCTGCAGTTTTAATGCTCGTGAGGCTGAATGGAAAAGGCACAGAAACTTGTGGTTGAGCTCTCCAGGATGGAGCATAGCTCCACGCTGGAGTTCAGTGGGCTTCTCAAAGAGCAGAAACCTGCTCGAGCGGTGGCAGCCGTGCAGTGAGCAGCTCCTGCTCAGCAGGGCCTTGGCACCGCAGCCCCATTCCCATAGTGTGTGAGCCGGAGAAGGGAGCCCATGGAGAGCTGGGAAAGCTGGTTTCTGTGCTGCATCCTCATCTTCAGGAGCTGCTGTAACCTCTCACCTTGCCTTGCAGCGATGAGCACAACCTGGGGTGCAGCACTGGTACTAACTGTCCCCTCTCGCCTCTGCTCTGCCCGCAGACGCTGCAGGAGCAGCAGGCAGCCCGGGCGCAGAGCCTGGCTGAGCTGAGCCGCTGGCTGAGCCAGGCTGAGGACACGCTGGTGGAGCAGCAGAGAGCAGCCAGCGAAGGGGACCTGTCCACCCTGCAGCAGAGGCAGAGCCATGTGAAGGTCAGTGCTCTGAGTGCTGGGGGGCAAAAGGAGGAGAGGCTCGGGAGGGCGGGGAGCTGATGGCATTGTCTGCCCAGGAGCTGCAGAGGAACATGCACACCCGAGCCGCCTCCTTCGCCAGCATCCTGAAAAGCACAGAGGAGTTTCTGGAGGACAACAAGGCGAAGATGGAGCCTGGGGAGCTGGCAGCGCTGCAAGAGAAGCTCCAGCGTGCCAAGGAGCAGTACCGGTCCCTGCAGGAGAGGACAGAGATGGCCCAGAAGGAGCTGGAGAGCGCTGTTACTGCTGCAGTGCAGCAGGAGACTGAAAAGGTGACATGCAAAGAGCTTTAGCCCTTCGGCTCTGCTTGAAGGTGGACAATAAGGTTCCAGATGCTGCAGTCAGATTCGTTTGGGGTCTTGGCATTCAGCTGGGTGATGCAGCATAAAGCAGTTTGTGGTCCCTTCCTGTCTGTCCCTCAAATAAGGTGCCCCCCAAGTATTTTTCTCATGAAATGCCTTGAGAGTTGCAGCCACAGATGGGCTGATTGTGGAGGAGCTGGGGGAGTAAAAGGCGCTGACCTTTAATGGGAGCTTGAGCATCAGGGATCTCCATTGCTGGTGATGAAGGTGATGCTCACACCTGCATGGGTGGAGTTGAAGCATTTCAGGGGGGGGACTCTGGGCTCCATCAAGGTTAGAAGTGCAATGCTGAGTTTATCCAAAACTTCTTTGCACCTTCCTCCCTTCCAGAAGAGCCACGAAGGTTTGTGGAGCTCTGTGAGTGTCTCAGGCTTTTGCTGTGGCTGGAAAACTGTTCAGGGTGTTTCCTCTGTTGATTTTTTTCTCCCTCCTCCATGCAGCAGTTTGCTGAACATGCATAAAATGGGTCCTTCTTTATCTGGCGCCTTTGTGCTTTCAGATGAAAGCTGCCAAAGAGCTGGAGGAGAACAGCAAGAAGATTGACTCCCTTCTGAATTGGGTGGCATCACTGGAGCAGAAGGGAGGGCTCCTGGAGTACAGACCCCACCCCATCGAGCAAGCACCAGGAGAAGGAGTGGGGGCAGGCACTGGGGATGTCCCTGATGGCCACGTTGTGGGAGCAGACAGTGCTGCCGAGAGCCTGGATGAGCAGTACGAGAGGCTGAAGGTCAGGACATCTCATTCCTCTCAAAGCTTTCTGCCCCTTGCACTGACCCTGCTGATGCAGCTGGGAGCAGCATGGGGTGTTAGATGTGTCTGGCCTTGAAAACCTGTGTTCAGGGGAACATTTTCCATATGGGAAACTTGGGAAGTCACTACTGGCTTCCTGGAGGACTTGCCCTCTGGGTTGGTGGTAGATGCTGTGGCATGGTGCCATCAGGGCAATGAAAAGGTGCCCATCATGGTCAGACAAGGGGTTCTGTGTGCAGAGCTCCTGCCCCTATCCCAGACTTGCGGTGTTCCTCACCTCACCAGTGCTGTAGGAGGTGAGGTACACTGGGTGCTGCTGGGCAGAGACCCTCAGTCTGGTTTGAGTTGGAAAGGACCTTGAAGATCATCCAGCTCCAACCCCTGCCATGGGCAGGGACACCTTCCACTAGAGCAGGTTGCTCCAAGCCCCTGTGTCCAAGCTGGCCTTGAACACTGCCAGGGATGGGGCAGCCACAGCTTCTCTGGGCACCCTGTGCCAGCACTTCAGCACCCTCCCAGTGAAGAGCTTCTTCCTTATACCGAACCTGAGCTTCCCTGTTTCAGTTTAAACCCATCACCCCTTGTGCTGTCGCTGCTGTCACAAGCATCACCTTTGCTCACTGGCATCTTTCAGGCCCAGCACCAGGAGCTGCTGTCGCAGCAGCAGGATGTCATCCTGGCCACGCAGTCAGCACAGGCGTTCCTGGACAAGCACGGCCACAGCCTGGCCGGGGACGAGCGGGCCCGGCTCCAGGGCCGGCTGGCAGAGCTCAAGCACCAGTACGCGGCTTCCCTTGCGCAGTCGGAAGCGCGGCTGAAGCAAGTGCAGGTCCTGCGGGATGAGCTGCGCAAGTTCCTGCGGGATCATGGCGAGTTCGAGGCTTGGCTGGCGCAAGCGGAGCAGGATCTGGAGGGGATGGCCAAGGGGGGCAGTGACCCCGCGGCGCTCCGGCAGCTGCTCCAGCGGCAGGGCAGCTTCTCCGAGGACGTCATCTCCCACAAAGGAGACCTGCGCTTCGTTACCATGTCAGGGCAGAAGGTGCTGGATGCGGAGGGAGCTGCTGGGGACGCCGGGTCCCCGGCGCTGATGTCCGGGAGCGTGGTCAGGAGCAAGCTGGAGGATGCGACGCGGCGATACACCGCGCTGCACTCCAAGGTATGGGAAGGGCTGTGCGAGGCTGGGGGTTGAACCCTGGGTGCTGTTTTCCTCCTGTGCGTGTAGAACAAGCAGGGAAGGCAAAGGGACGTCTCTCTTGAGTGTCTGGCTGCACTTACAGAACCATAGGATAGTTTGGGTTGGAAGGGACCTTAAAGACCATCTAGTTCCACTCCCCTGCCAACTTCTAGCACTTCTGTAGATTGTAGGACAAGGATTGTCTTTTTCAGGGCTTGGGCAAGAGTAACACCTCTAGCTTGGTCTCCTGTAATTCCTTTCGCACATATGGCAAGACTGGGTTTTTTAATTGTTTTTTCTTTCCTGATGACTCCTGTGCGTTTTCCACCAGGGCCCAGGTCACTCCGTGCTTTGTTTGCATCCTCTCCTCATGCCTTGTTGCTCTTTTGCAGTGCACCAAGCTTGGCTCCCACCTCAGCACCTTGCTGGATCACTACCAGCAGTTCCAGGAGGTGGCAGAGTCTCTCAGGACGTGGCTGCAGGAGAGTGAAGCTGCCGTTGGGAAACTGCTCTCGGAGACGGTTTCTTCGGATCCGGCCATTCTGCAGAAGCAGCTCGCCAGTGCCAAGGTACAGGATCCATGGGTGATCCTGGGGGACACCGGAGCCTCTGTGGGAACAGACTGCCCATGGGGACATCCCAGTGGGACATGGGGGAACATTCGTCCCCAGTGAGGGTGTCTGAGCACTGGGACAGCCCAGACCCTCTGATCCAGCTTTGCCTGCAGCATGGGGTTGGACCTTCCAACCTATGTTGTTGTTTTCCCTAAGGAGTTTGTGATTAAACAAGATCCCTCAGCAGGGTTATGTAGACCCTGGAGCTCCCTGTGGGTACAGGGCTCTAATTTGTGATCCACCACTGATTTTGCCCCATCTTGTGTCAAAGCAGCAGTTGCAGGGAGACCTCGCTGAGCATCAGGTGCCAGTGGAGAAGCTCCAGAAAGCAGCTCGGTCCCTGCTGGAAGTACAAGGGGAGCCGGCCCCAGACCATGGGCACATCCAGGAAACAACAGGTACAGAGCAAAGCCACCACCTGCATTAGCAGGGATGGTTGAGGAGGGTGTAAAAGCCTCCCTCCAACTAGGGAGGGAAGATGAAGTTTCCCACTTTTGGGAGAAGGTGAGGCAAAGGCTCACAGCAGCGCATCTTCAGGGCTTGTGTTTGCCCATGGGGAGGGCTGTGATCCAGGCTGGCCATATTGTGTTGGATCCCTGTCTCTCTGCTGAGTTTGGGGAGGGGAATCCACCATCAAGGGGTGTTTGGCCAGAGCCAAAGGTGATACTTGCTTCTCACTGAGCTCTTTGTACCGAACTCCACAGATGCCATCGTGAGCCGCTTCCAGAGCCTCTCCCAGCAGATGGCCCAGAGCTCGGACCTGCTGACGCAAT